CAAACTTGCCAAAGACTGTAAAGACACGTAGCATGTATGTTGTATTTCTGTGATCATAATTTCAGATGCAGACAGCAGCACACTTCACTGCCATCCTTCTTCCTGTTTTTCACTTCTGCTGCTCACACATGACCTCTGCTAACCTCGGGCAGCCTCCTCCTCCCATGTGGCTGCACTCTGCGGGGAAATGCCCTGTTTTTGGCGATGATTAGTGGGAGAAAAGAGTTTGAAAGTAAGAAAAAGGAGCTTCCACGTAAAATGGTGGTTGGTATCAGTGCATAAGAGTGTGCGTGTTGGGCTGCAGCAGATCAGATATCGGTCAGTGAGCATTATGCTGCCTGACACGTATAGTGCACCTACAGTTCACATGGTATGGTCTTCTGGAGGTCCTGATATCACAAAAAGGAACATTAGATCAAATACAAGATGGAAATTCCTGATCTGTTAAAATGCATATGACACGTTTTTTATTTTTACATATTACTTTGAGATAGTATCTGTGTTTCTTACTTTCACATCAGTTAAAGGGCTCATCTTACACTATTTTCTGAGCTATGTTAGAATGTTTTTTCCTCATCACAATCATACCTGGAGTTGTGTTTTGTTTCATTCACACATCTTTAAAACACTAATCTTGCATATTTAAGCTGAGTTCTTCTCTCAAACAGAAAGCACTTGTGATAATGCTTAGGTAAATTAATTGTTTTTTTAAACTCCATACACATTCACTAGAATCATTTGGATGATTTTAGCCTTTGAATTACCAATCTTTACTAAACTAAAAGTAAAAGGTAGATGTTAACTTGAAAATTACTGCTTCATGACATCACAAGGTGGAACAGAGCATTTTGATCTTTTGCGATGTAGACAGTAGGGATGTAACAATATTGAAATCTCTCAGTACGATATTATCACGATATGCATCTCACGGTACGATATTTATTGCGATATTTTGGAGAGGCTGATATAATTGTAAATGGGACACTTTTTTGCTTTTAAAATACCCCGACAAGATTTTGGTGTGAGTTATTTCTGTTGTAATCTCAAGAATTCAAGTAAAAAACATATTTCTTCACGTTGTCTGCGCTGAAATGAATCATGGGATATGTAGTTCCCGATGTTTATTAGCTGTTGCTACTATAAAAAAAATGCATTTAAGCAAAGGAACTTGTAATTCGATATATTGTGACAGCCCAGCGTATTATTGTGAGACTTTTGACGATACGATATCACGATATTTCGCTTATTGTTACATCCCTAGTAGTCAGACTAATAATAAAGGGTTATTAAAACATATGTGAACTCCAGGTATGTTTTTGAGGTAACAAGGTTCTAACATGGCTTAAAGCTTATAAGGGTCAAATTGTGTATAATATAGGACCATTAAATATCAGTTTGTATGTAGAAAGTTGAGAAGAAAATTACAAAATACAGGTAGTAGTGTTGAGTTCTAAAACTGAGCCCCTCTATCTATGTCACCCAAAATTCAGTCCAAAAAGTAAGGACAATGTATAGGTTAAGAAGGCATGTTTCCGATAGTTTAAACTTTCATATAATAAAATGAATGAGTTCCTGTTTACTTGAAATAAACTTGAACTGTTTACTAGTTTAATCATAACTACAGGTTGCCCCATGTGAATATTGCAGGTAACCAGTTATTGATTTACCTCTATTTATGTCATAATTCCCAAAAACTTCTCCCAGATGAATTTAAAATATTATCTAAACATGTATATAGAAACAATTACAAATATGAACAATTACAAATATGAACAATAAAAAGCACAAAAAAGTGTGAAGTGCTTCTGCAAAATTTTCCCCACAAACTAAAATAGAATATTGTCTACTCCTTACGTGAATTCTTTTCTGTTGTTTTCCCTTTATTTTTTTGTTTGTTTTGTTTACTTTGAAAGAATTGATTATGTATGAGTTTGTAAAAGAACAACAATCTCTGTATATATTGATTTCTTCTGTGATATATTTTGTTAAGTGATGCTCTTTAAGGGTGCATTGCGGACTACAGATCTGTAACAGTCACAGTCACAATGTCTCGTTTTCTAAGTATTTTTGAGCTATAAAACCATCTATAAATTAATAAACGCAGTGGTGGAAGAAGTACTCGGTTTAATACTTTAATATTAAGTAAAAGTAGCAGAGGAGCAGAAAAATACTCAAGCAAAAGTAAAAGCATCACATGAAAAAATATACTCAAGTAAAAGTATCAAAGCATCTGTTTAAAAATGTACTTAAAGACTAAAAAGTAAGAGTTTACTCAGATTTTGAGATCTTATAAAGCTTCATTATTCAGGATTGTGTTGAATTTTGTTCAGCAGAAACAGCTGAATCTATCGTTTCTGTCTAGCTGCTTGTATTTATACATTTCTGTTTGCTTATATTATAAACGTATTAAAAATAAACTCCTCTGCCTTTGCAGCAGGTCTCAAACTAAAATAAAAAAAAAATACGTATATTTTTCACTTCAGTTAAAAAATGTAGAAGCTCTCAAATGTTGTAAAAGTGAATAATCTCTATCCACTGTAACATGTACTATAGATATCTAAAAAGCTGACATGACTACAGTGCTTCAGTATTTTTACTTCATTACCTTCCACCACTGAATAAATGTAATAAATTCTACAGTAATGCCATACTGTGGAGCAATCCAGGCAGAGCAATGACATCTCCATAGACCAAAAATCACATAGGGCACTTTTAATTATAATAATAATAATAATAATAATAATAATAAAAGTGCTTCTTGGTGCTTGTGCCCGTCACAGCAGCAGGTCTGAAGGGGGTGGGCCGATGAGCAGTTCACTAGCGCAGGGTGAACTCAGGCTTTGACCACAGCAGGGTGTCAGGGTTTGTAACTTCCTCATCTTTGTCACGCTATGAGCTCTGCGCTGTCTGCACCAGCTCACCACTGACATAAAACTACAGTTCTACGAAACAGACTAACTGGACTTTGATTGCGTCAAGTGACTTAAATTTGAGGAAGGCTTTTGTAGGTTATATGAAAGAGTGTGCACAGTTTTGAGTTTATTTATTTGTATAATATTTACAATTATTACACATACCCATAAACGACAATTGGGTTGGACTTTGGAGAAAGATCTAGCGCACATGTTCCAATCCAAAGTTGTGAGAAAATGAAAAATAAAGAGAGTGAAAATACAGATCTAAAAGTGACAACAACAAAAAAAGAAAAAAGGTTTATGTTGACCATATTTAATCATTTGAACATTTGTGTTTCTTGCACAGCTTCTTCAGATTTCATGTTTCAAATTTTCATGGTCTGTCTTTTGAAAATAAAACATTTTAAGCATTATTTATTGTTTTGTCCTTTCAATTACATTAACTTAAAATTTTAAATCAGATATCCCGACAGTTACTCTTACAATTAATCTTACTTGAGTATCATATATATTTTTTCTCTTACTTGAGTAACTTCTTGGATCACTACTGTGTCCAAGAAATGTCTTTTATTCATTTTATTTACTTTTTTATTTTATTTATTTTACTTATTTACTGCCATTTTATGATTTTTATGGTTTTGCTTTTATTTGCTTTTACTGGTTTTATTGTTTTAGGACTGGTATGACCAAATTTTAGCAATTTACCTTTTTGTGGTCTTCATTTTATGATGTTTGTGCAGCACTTTGGAGGCTGCTTTATTTGTAAAATGTGCGATAGAAATAAAGTGGATTTGGACTATTGGTATCACTTGGTACTTTAACCTGAGAAATATTACTTCAAAGTAATATTACACTTATTTGAGTACAGGTTTTGGCTACTCTAACCATCACTTTCTTGGCCTTTATAGCCTATAAATACTGTCTGTTAGTACTTGTGTTATGTCACAATAAAGAGCTTATATTACACTATTTTCTGATCTATGTTATTTGTTGTTAGTCGTTTCCTCATCAAAAACATACCTGGAGTTGTGTTTTGTTTCATTCTCACAAGTTTAACACACAAACCCTGCTTATTCAGGCTGAGTTCTTCTCTCAAACAATAAACACTCAGTTCCACCTTGTGATGTCATGTGGTGCAGGAAGTGCTTCACTGTGTTTATAAATGCCACACACCTTCATTAGAATCATCTGGATAATTTCAGCCCTGGAATTGACAATTTCTTCTAAACAAGAGGCAAAATATAGCTGTTAACTCACTTCATGACATCACAAGGTGGAACAAAGCATTTTGAGCTTTGGAGTTATAGATAGACTAATAATAATGGATTACTCAAACATGTGTGAATGAAACAAACCACAACTCCGGATATGTTTTTGATGACTTAACAGCATTATGCCATGGATTAAATCTCACTAGAGTCAGTTCTGTGTAATATTATACAGAACTTTTAAAATAAATAAAATAACATAATGACAAATAATAGGACTGAGCCAGGTTTATTTAAATAATGTACACAAAATATTTTCCCTCTCTTTGAAACCTCTTAGTATAATATTTGGTATATGTCGACATCTAGAGGCAGAAACGTGTTACTGCAACATAAAAAAAACCTTAAGTGTTTGGACACCTCACAACTTTTTAATGTTTAATAGATACTATAGGCTATGTGTGCATGCGTGTGTGTGCGTGTGTGTGTGTGTGTGTGTGTGTGTGTGTGTGTGTGCGTGTGTGCGTGTGTGTGTGCGTGTGTGTGTGTGTGTGTGTGTGTGTGTGTGTGTGTGTGTGTGTGTGTGTGTGTGTGTGTGTGTGTGTGTGTGTGTGTGTGTGTGTGTGTGTGTGTGTGTGTGTGTGAACGTCAATAATAGCATTTTATTGCAATGATAGCAGATAATTCATGTTTGTAATTCTTGTTTAATGAGACAGCAAATTAACACTAAATTAACAAATACTAAATAGATTCATAAAAATGAAACAAATAGCCTATAATACATCCTTTCAGATATTTTTATTTGATTTGTCATGTTACAAGTGAAATCTAACATGAGATGGTAGCAGCAACTTCCTTTATGTATTGCCCGTGTTGCCATTTCCTGAGAAGTAAAAGCAGAAACTTGTGAAGTTAGTGTGAAAAAAAAAAAAAAAAAAGAGGAAGAAGTAGATCATCTTTAATGTCCGAACAATGGAGAGACAACACTGGATGCACTGTAGCTATTTCATCACAGGTAAACCTTACAAAAGTCTATCGCATATATTTTTGTTTTGTTGTTTTGATATTGAGAGTGGTGTTTTGTGTGTTATTGCAGTGGTCCTCTTCGCGCTTAATGGTTGGTTGTTTTTTGTTTTTTTTTAATATGCTGCATTGTCACTATATTATAAATAATACCATTTGATCTACTTTATGGAATAAGAGATTAGCCTAATATTTACAAATACAGATGGCCTATGTGTTTTTAACCATAAATGATTTAAATAGTTGATTTTAATTTGGCAGCTTACAGTCAAACAATTTAAGAATCAGAAAAATTTTATTAAATTAAGATTCACCTGGATATATTTAGTTATATATTTATCAATACAATTTTAGTAAGCCTATAAAGAAATATTAATAGCTGTTTAAAACTGAACAAAGATAATAACTGATCACATACTGTGTTGTCAGATGGCATCAGATTATCTGACAAGATCACAGAATGTGCTGGAAGAGTAGAATTTTCCAATATGTCAAGAGTGTGTGGTGGAGACTGGAGTCTGAAAGAAGCTGAAGTGTTGTGCAGACAGCTCTCCTGTGGAAAAGCAGAGGCAGCGAGGCCCATTGGTTCTGACTCTCCCTTTGAGGGCATTCGGCTGAAATGCACTGGAAAAGAATCCAGTCTGACCAATTGTAAACACAGTGGAGGGACCTGTTCTCAAGGTGATGCTGGAGTAGTCTGTTCACGTGAGTCACCTCGCATGTTAATATTCACAATCACTGAATCTTGCAAATTTTACTAATCCCAATATACCTTTTTCAGATGACTTCCCTAAACCTGTCATCTCTGTGGTGCCCCCTGGAGTAAATTGGGGTGGAACTATTAGTATTACATGTGATATTTCAAAATTTAAAAAAATTTCTGAGCTGACTCAAGGAGTATTCAAATTGACCAAAAACTCAATTGAGATTAAACAATCACGTGTCAGTCACAAGGCCATTTTCACTGAGTCAAAGGTGAAGTTTGAAGACAAGGGACAATATCAGTGCTGCTATAAAGAAACAAGTCCAGGCTTTTGCAGCCCTGTTAGCTTCACTGTGACTGGTGAGTAGACATTTTACTATTATACATACTAACATAAGGAGGTTAATATTTCACATTTTGTCCCTTGTAAAGAGTGATTGATCTACATCTTAAAAGAAATGCTATAAATCACTTCCTATTGAAAATTGCAGAACTTTTGATGGGGAAATTCTCAGCAGAAAGCCACAGAACTTTAAAACTGCTCTGTCATCCTCACATTAACCATTTAAACCCCAATCTGGTTGTTTTGGTCTACAGAAGGTATAAAAATGTTTGATGGAACCTGTCAATTCATGACATAAAAAGTACATGCTCACTGAATTAAAGATTATTTAACATGCACTTCCATTATGACCCCCAGTTGATTTAATGTGAGCATGTACCATTTCTGCCTCCTCTCCTGACCAGCAGCAGCTCCAGGTCAGGCTCAGCTCAGGCTACACAGAAGGATTATCTTTGTATGTGTTTGTATTTGAACTCTTATGAGCTTTAAGTCATGTTATAATGTTGTTACTTCATCAAAACATACCTGGAGTTGTGTTTTATTTCATTCACACATGTTTCAGCAACACTTTATTATTAGTCTGTCACCATCTCCAAAGCTCAGAGTGCTCTGTTCCACCTAGTGATGTCATGAAGCTGTAGTTTTCAAGTGAACAGCTCCTTTTACCTTTTGCTCTGTAGAGATTGCAATTCCAGAGCTGAAATTATCCAAATAAAAGTGAATGAGGTAACAACATTATAACAGTGATCAGAAAATAGTTTAATGTGGGCCCTTTAAAATGTTAATAGTTTGCTAAATTTCTGTGGCTAAAGAAAAGCAAGAAACAATTTACACAATTTCTACTTGAAGTATAACTGGTTTAGAGGAACAGTGAACAACGGCTATCTCCTTTTTGCCAAAGTGCATTTTTGTGTGTCCATATTACGAATGCAAATTTTGGCTTGTCTTTACTGCAGATTTAATGTTGTTATATTAGCTTTAACGTTAAAGTTAAGACACATAAGGATGCACCTTTGTAAAAGCAGAAGTGTCCTGCGGTCAGGTTTCCCCGCATTTGTAAATTGTTTAACATGTGGTAAACTGTAGAACCGCAGCCAGTCATGAATCAGTGCTAGTGCAGACTTTGCAGCTCAGTGAGGGAATTCTGGAGGTTTTGAGCTTGAGAAAAACATGCAGTTGACATCTGTATATAAATGTTAAAGCAGTGGCACCCAGGTTGAGTTGAGATTGTTCCTTTTCAAAACAGTAAAAGAACATTTGAACAGACAAGAGTCTTTACAGGCAAAACCAGTGGAGCTGAAGCATGCTCTAAGTCAATAGTTTTAGTGATTACTTGAAGCAGCACTATGTAACTTTTCTGCTTGGGGTACAGCCACCTGCTTGTGCTTGTGTCCATGGAGATGGTGTGCCTGGAATGTTCCACAGTATGGCAAAGTATTTAGTTGGCATATTCAATTAGGTGTTTTTGCTCAAAAGTACCTTGAAAAGCTCATACACTTACTGTGAGCAGTGTTGCCTCTCCACTGATCTAACCTGTAACTTGCCCTGGTGTCCCCTGTTTGTTTCAGTAAAGATAGATATTAATGCTACACTGTGGAACATTTCTGACAGCGCAAAAACATCTCCATGGAAGCAAGCAGCTGGGTAAATGACATCCTGGGCCAGAACTGTGTTTATGGCCACTTAAGGGAAGAGGTTTACAGAGCTAGAGGACTTATGCTCAAACTTATTTGCACAACAAAATGTCTCAGAAATCTTGTTTAAAGAAGTTTTATTTCAAAACTCTACATAGGCAAGTTCCCATATTTCATTTTAAAAACTCAGAATAAAGCATGTATCTTCCTTGAAAATACAAGTTATTGAAGCAGTGTTCTGAAAGTAACATATCTTTTTTTTTTTTACATTTTTCCCAGTGGACCTGCCCGTGCCCAGCCTGTGTGTGTCTCCTCCTGCTGGGGGACACTGCTCCTCTGACACTGTCCACATCACCAGGGGAGACAGTTTTGTCCTCCGCTGCTCTGTCTCCTCAGACGTCCCAGAAGGCCTGTTTTTCTTGTGGTTCTCTGGCTCCAACAGCTCTGTCCATCAGCCTTCAGTCAACCACTCAACCTCCTTCCACTTTCCTGTGTCCCAGAGCCAACACCAGGGACAATACAGCTGTGTGTATCAGGTCACTGGGGCAGGACACACGTACACCTCCCCCATATCTGCAGTTGTCAATGTGATCGTTAAGAGTAAGTATCTCTAGAGCAACAAATGCATAGCCAGATTCTTCAAGAAGGGGTGTTCATGTGAACAAGCTGAGTAGCTGCTTCTTGTTTACTCAATATCCATTTTCATATTGCAAAGGAAAAAAAAATCTGTGCTAGTGCAGCCTCTGCAGCTCAGTGAGGGAATTCTGGAGGTTCTGATCTTGAGAAAAATGTCATTTATATATAATTTATATACAGAGGTAGTTGATGTCTGTATAGTGATGTTAAAACAGTGGCAACCCAGGTTGAGTTGAGATTGTTCCTTTTAAAAAGAGTAAAAGAACATCTGAAACACACAATTCTCACAACACCCTTTACAGGCAAAAACAGTGGAGCTGAAAAATGCTCGATATAATCATATTTGGCCCCGCAAGATCATATCAAATATGTATTAAAGCTGGCCTGCCAGCTACAGGTAGACTATGGAGAAAATTTTGTTAGTATTTTATATTGTGCTTGGTCTGGATTCAGTGTTTGAGCACAACTATTGTTAAACATCTATTTTAATAAGAAAAGGTTTAACATTACATATCTCTAAAGAAGAGAAAACATGCATGTTTAGTTTGGCCCATGATTTAGTTTCAGTTTTTAGTTTTGGCCCTCTGTGAATCTGAGTTTGACATCCATGCTCTAAATCAGTAGTTTCATGGTGATGCTGTGCCTGGAATATTCCACAGTATAGCAACGTATTTATCTTGCATTTTCAATTAGGTGTTTTTGCTCATAAGTACCTTGAAAATCATGTACTCTTACTGCGAGCAGTGCTGCCTCTCCACTGATCTTACTTGTAACTTGTCACCTGTTTGTCTCTGTGACACTATGATATAGTAAAAACATCTCCATGGAAACAAGCAGCTGGGAAAATGACGTATTAATTCATCATGTTTTTCTTGTATGTGTGTTTTAGAACCTCTGCTTCCCATTATCCTTCCTGTGGTGGCAGTGAGTCTGTTGCTTCTTGTCTTGATTGGATTGTACCTCTTACACAGAAGAAGAAGAAGAAGAAGACATGTTGTCGAGCTCACAAACTCAGCCCCAGCTCCAAGTATGTTCTCATCCAAACACCAAAAGACTATGAACCATAGTCTTTAAAATTCATAATACTAATTCCTGACAGGGTTTTACAGAGCTGTGCTGGTTCATATTAACTTGGGTTTTAATAATGACTGTATATTTCAGTGAACGCCTTGAACCGTTATGAAGACTCAGATGATGAAGATGATGCAGACTATGTGAACGCTCCAAATGGAGGAGAGGATGAGGACAGTGAAGAGCCGGACTATGTGAATGTGACAGCGGTCCATGATAATGATATTGTGGAAATTTATGGAGGCGACAATGACAGTATTTATCAGAACTGTTAATATAAGACTTCTGAACAGCTCCAGCCAAGTGGCCCAGTGACACAGCTCAAAGCTTTTCTTTTTTTTAAATAGAAATTATACTTGTCAAAAATGTGTTTGAATGCATTATTATATGTGAACTAAACTTGGCTCCCACATGAGCCCTTTAAATATCAGTCAGTTTACCCACAAATGATTCACTTTATGAATGTCTTTTGGACAAAGACAAGGCGATTGTGTTACCTCTTTGTACCTCTATTTGCAACATCACTATGTAAATGATGCATTAAAAACAAATGCATGCTCTATCCACATTCTGTTAGGTCTAATAGATCACAAAAACTTAGTTGAGCCATTTCCAAAGTCTACTGTGCCGTGGCCCCCCATCAGTGCAAAGATCACACATTGCCGCTCTAATAATATTTGACAACATATAAAAGGGTGTGTAATATAAACAAAGCAAAACAAAATATATCTTATACAAAGTTGTGTGTGTACAAACCTTTTAAAAATGGAACAATTTGCCACACACATAGAAGTCAAATGAATTATTAAAAAAGGAATAAAAATAGATTCTATCTCAGATTCAACCCCCTTCAGGGCCAAGTTTGACCCGTGGGCCCCACATTCAACACCCCTGATCTAAACCATGAAGTACTGCAAAAGGACCACTGATGGTGAATGAGTAATACAGCTGAGAAAACTCTATAATGTCTTATTTAATAAATAACTTATTTCTTATTAAACTGAAGCTGTGGTTGGTCATGTTGCCAGCCATGTTGGTTGTAGGACCACTGTTTGAGATATGGCGTTGTGTTTTTATGTTAAGTGTGACGTTTAGTGTTGCCATCCTTTAAAGATGCATTTTAGTGTGTAACACTTCAGGCAAAGTAAAAACATCTCACCTTGGCAACCAGTAGAAAAGTTTTACAATGCACCTTTCATCAGAGGCCACAACAACAGAGGAGGTGATACACGTTTAGCTGCCCATTGTGTGTGAAAAATGGGAGGAGAATTAGAGAAAGACACTAATGTGACATAAAAGAGGAACTAATTTCTCACCAAATGCAGCCGCTCCAGCAAGTGCATTTGAGTTTCTTTCTGGGTGTCATGGATGCTAGACGAGACCGACATGTTCTGTGTCTGTGCATGGGTAAGATACAGTTTGATCTGATCATTATGTATGCTACGTTTTGGTGTGTTTGTGTCTGAAAACTGTGCATGTTTTTCTACAGTGATGTTGCTGTTCATACCACCTTTACTAACAGGTTGGCTCTGTTATTATTATAATGTGTGGGTGGTTTAGTTTAGCTAATTTCAAGCATGAAATTGAAAATAAAAATGTTAAATAAACATTATATTTGTACAAAACAAACAAATAATACATTTGTAGTCCCACTATCATTTTGAAGACAAATATGTTTGTTTAATTAGGTTTCATTGTTTGATGCATATTATAATAATTGTAATATATATTCTCTTGGCAATATCTGAGCAGAGGATCAGATCAGACTGGTTGGTCCTGGTTCTTCTCATTGTTCTGGAAGAGTGGAGATCTACCACAACAAAACATGGGGAACAGTGTGTGATAATAACTGGGACATGTCTGATGCTCAAGTCGTGTGCAGACAGATGAACTGTGGTGAAGCAATAAGTGCGACACAAAGTGCTAGTTTTGGTGAAGGCTCTGATCCAATCTGGCTCGATGATGTGAGCTGTTCTGGAAATGAGAGCTTTTTAGCTCAGTGTGGACACAGTGGATTGGGTAATCACAAATGTGGACACAGTGAAGATGCTGGTGTGGTCTGTTCAGGTAGGACATTTTTTATGTAGTCAAACTGGAAATGTTGTAATTGTTGTTTGGTTGTTGAAACTCTGTTTGTGTTTGTGTTTTCTCAGAGGGGCTCCCAGTGCCTCGTATTTCTCTGTCTCCTCTTGTGCTCATGTGGGGTCAAAGTGCCAATGTCACCTGTTCCATCACTGGACTTTCAGGAGGAACCTTCATTCTGAGACACTTAAATCAGGATGTTCAGAACTCAGCCTCTAACCCTGCCACCTTTAACTTACCCCAAGTGACTGCTGACAATAAGGGGCCTTACCACTGTCTGTATAAGATGGTGCTCTCAGGTCAAACCTTTGATTCCCCCCAAAGTGACCCACTTCTCATCACTGGTAAGATCATTATTATAAGAGTCTGATTTTAGTACTGCTTTTCTGGGACATGTAAATTGGCATTAGTTGGTGTGGGCCATCATCACAATAATATGTGCAAGTTGTTTTGTGATTTTGAACCTGGAATACCATGTATGTAAACAGACAGTGATTTCTTCTTTTTCAGTAACAATTCCAAAGCTTGGTATTTCTGTGATCCCCTCTCATGAGGTGAAAATGGCCACATTTTTATATAGCGCTTTTCCATCTTCATGGTACTCAAAACGCTTTACAGCAAGAATTCGCCTATTCACACATACCAGTGTACACAGACACTAAGTGTCACAACAGCAGCATTAATCTGTGGGAGCTAGATTCACACCACCAACCTGTGGGTCTGTGAATCTTATCACTCAACCAATGTTTTATTATGTCGAGAGCAGGATTTGAACCACCAACCTTCAAATCAGTGGACAAACACAGCTACTGCTGCCCACAAGGGGACAGACTGGAGTCAGTGTCACATGTACCATTTCAGCTCAAATTTCAAGAAGGGGTGTTGATGTGAACAAGCTGAGTAGCTGCTTGTTTACTCAATATCCATTTTCAAATTGCAAGGGGAAAAAAAAGATTGGGGGAGAAAATGTTTGTTTGTGTTTTTATTTAAAGATCCTATATTTCACAAAATTGACTCTTATGAGCTTGAAGTCATGGTATAATGTTGTTACTTCATCAAAACATACCTGGAGTTGTATTTTGTTTCATTGACACATGTCTGAGTATTTCTTTGTTATTAGTCTGTCACTGTCTACAAAGCTCAAAATGCTCTGTTCCACCTTATGATGTCATGTAGTGGTAGTTTTAAAGTTAACAGCTACCTTTAGTATTTGCAATTGCAGAGCTGAAATGATTGAAATAATTCTAGTGAAGGTGTATGGAGTCTATTAAAACATAGTGGAACACTTTATGACATCACAAGGTGGAGCAATGTTTTCTGTTCAAGAAAAGAAGTCAATATGCAGGGTTTGTGTGTTAAATATGTGAGAATGAAACAAAACACAAACAAATGCATACTCCAGGTATGTATGATGAGGTAACAACATTATAACAGTGATCAAAAAATACTTTAATATGGGCCCTTTAAAATGTTCATAGTTTGCTAAAAAAAAAAAGTTTATTGTTAACTCAGTGATCGTGTCTCTCTGAACAATTAGTATTACTCAAGTTTTAAACAATGAAAAACAGTCATTGAACCAGCAATACAAGGGATCCATAAATATCTTGAAGTGCACTAACCTTCTCTGATTTATCGCCCTTCTTTTTGGACAACCAAGCAAGCATTTCTCAATTTAAGCTGCAGGAACACTTGTTCAGGGCTGGCAGGTAGGATTAACTGACTCACTAGCGCCCTCATGAGTCAGAACTGTATATTGTAGAGCTACATGCAGATTGTGACAAGACGAACCAAAAAAAAATCTCTTGTCCCAGTCTTTGGGAATCAATGCTTTAAGTCAATAGTTTTAGTGATTAGTTGAAGCAGCACTATGTAACTTTTCTGTTTGGGGTACAGCCACCTGCTTGTGTCCATGGAGATGGTGCTGTGCCTGAAATGTTCCACAGTATTTAGCTTGCATATTCAATTAGGTGTTTTTGCTCAGAAGCACCTTGAAAATCATGTATTCTTACTGTGAGCTGTTTTGCCTCTCCACCTGATTGTCTCTGTGAAGATATAAATATTAATATATAGATATTAATTCTACACTGTGGAACAATTCTGACAGAGCAAAAACATCTCCATGGAAACAAGCAGCTGGGTAGGTATAATGTTATTATGTATTATCATTATCATTATCATCGGTAGTAGTAGCAGTAGTAGTAGTGACAGTAGTAGTAGTAGTAGTGTTTTTCTTGTATGTGTGTTTTAGAACCTCTGCTTCCCATTATCCTTCCTGTGGTGGCAGTGAGTCTGTTGCTTCTTGTCTTGATTGGATTGTACCTCTTACACAGAAGAAGAAGAAGACATGTTGTCGAGCTCACAAACTCAGCCCCAGCTCCAAGTATGTTCTCATCCAAACACCAAAAGACTATGAACCATAGTCTTTAAAATTCATAATACTAATTCCTGACAGGGTTTTACAGAGCTGTGCTGGTTCACATTAACTTGGGTTTTAATAATGACTGTATATTTCAGTGAACGCCTTGAACCGTTATGAAGACTCAGATGATGAAGATGAGGCAGACTATGTGAACGCTCCAAATGGAGGAGAGGATGAGGACAGTGAAGAGCCGGACTATGTGAATGTGACAGCGAACAATTATAATGATACTGTGGAAATTTATGGAGCCGACGATGACAAAATGTATCTGAACTGTTAATGTAAGACTCCTGCACAGTTCCAGTCAAGTGGCCCAGTGACACAGCTCAAAGCTTTTCTTATGTTTTTTTTAAGAGCCCATATTATGTTATTTTCTGAACTATGTTATAAACTTTTTTCCTTCACAAAAACAAACCTGGATTTGTGTTTTGTTTCATTCGCATATGATTAACGCACAAACCATGCAGATTTAGGCTGAGTTCTTTTCTCAAACTAAAACACTCCACTGAACATTAGGTAAGAGGAGCTGTTATCTTGAATACTAAGACTTCATGACATCACAAGGTGGAACAAAGTATTTTGAGCTTTAGAGGCGCAGACAGACTAATGACACAGGATTACTTAAATGTGCATGACTGAAACAAAACTAAACAGTTTTTGATGAGATAGAAGCATTATAACATGACTTAATGCTCAAAAGTCAAATTTTCTGAAATAAAGTACCTTTAAATAAGTATAAGTATAGTTCATGTTTACATTCATTTTATAAATAATGCTAGCCAGCTTATGATATATTTTTTGTGCTAATATTCTTTTTATATTTCTGTAATTATTCATGTCAAACGGTGTATATATGCACTTTGCATCTGAGTTTAGACAGTTTTATAAGAGCAATACACATGAGGGAAGTGGCTGTGGTGTGGTTTTAAAAAATAGGTTAGTTCAAGAGAACCATGTGTGAAAACCCAGTTGGTGATCAGTGCATGTTAAATATACTCTATGACTTGCAAAAACCTCAAATGAAAAACCATCTCATATATAAATCCAGTATCTAGGTCTGT